CAGGACTCCACGCCAGCCCACCCGGCTAGGCTGCCACAGCCCACCTGGTCCACAGAGGATCTGGGCTCAACGATGACAGGAGGTGACCTCGGCCAGGCAGGGCAGAGGTAACGGCAGCCGATGCCCACACCCGCCCCTCCCGCCCACTGAACTCAGGTGTAACTGCAGCCTGCTCTAGCCTCCACTGGATTCCTCCTTCCACAGCTCCCGTGCTGTAAGCTGGACACCTAGGGTTCCAACCAGGGGCACCATGCCATCCTCCATCACCACCACCGAGCCCTTTCCAAGACACTCCTCAAGGGGAAGCAGCGAGTCCTGGTATCCGCTCTGCCATGGAAGCTGACTGTCCAAAATGTCTCATCCAATCGGATGGCTCCTGACTACTCACGGACGTGGAAGGTGCAGAGGGTTCATTCACAACAGGAATCAAGTTCCTGTGCCTGCATAGTATCTCAGCACACCATCTGCTGGCAGCTCAGGAGTTAACACTTCCTATACATTTCAACCAAAGAACACTCGCAGGCTACCACCATGGAGGCCCTGGGGTACTCATCTCTCTGAGAGTCCTGGCGCCCTGACAGGGGCTTCTGGGACGCACTGCATCCTGTGCCCAGGGCTCAAGACAGAGGGTGGGGGAAGGTTTTCTCTCCTCCCTGAGGATGGAGGCGTCCTCTCCTCCAAAGCGGCGGGCAGAGTGGAGTCTTGTAGGACAGACAGTCCCAAGCGAGCCCATCAGCTGCACAGGGCCGACGCAGAAAGCTGGGCGAGGCTCTGCAGGCTGGGAAGGCTCAGCCCACTCTCCCACGGGGGCTCGGGGGCTCAGGGGCCCAGGCACAGCCCACATACAAAACTAGCGTAGCTTTTTCAAAGCAAATGGCAACAGCGTGGTTCCAGCCAATAGCGTCCTCAACGTCCTGAAACTCCTTCCCACAGCCGCCAAAGTTCCAGATGGTTCAGGACATGTCTGCTGACCGAGTCACGACGTCACATGTTTACCTCCACCATCCGTGCGAAAACACACATGTTTATCTACCTCAGGCACAGGGAGGACTTTCTAAAACTTTCATCTGAGGCAGTCTCGTTGAGACCCTCAAATTTACTTTCCCCCAGAAGTCTTTTCTTCAAAACAAGGAAATGTTAATTTTCTCTAGATTTAAGTGGCTAAACAGGTACCATGAGTTACACGGACATTTTAAGGTCAGCCTTGCAACATCATGTCACATAATTCACTTAATCGTATAACTGAACTCATGGGGATCTGTACAGATTCAATGAAGGTAACCACAAACCCTGACGCTAACAAGCCTAGGGGTCTGAAAGCCCGCTGCGACACGCCGCCCAGCACCCAGCACCGGTGCCTGCACCCCCAACCCCCCACTTCATCCCCTCCGTCGAGGCCCGTCGAAGCCCTTCTGTGTGGACCAGGGTGCGCACTTCACCTGGTCACCCGGCTACATCAAATTCCGAGTCTCCCTGTCTTTCAAGGCCTGGACACTTTGGAGCAGCGCTGGCCAGGGTTTGGAGAGCATCCCTCAGTTTGGGTAAATTCTCTCACGAATGGACACATTTGAAAAGCACTGGCCAGTGTCCTGGTGTGCGCCCCTCGGTTTGGGTGCAACATTTTCTCACAAGGGTCCTGCACTCTGGCAATACTGCTAGAGCGGTGGGTGTCTCACTGGGCCTTGGTGTCACACCCTCTGGCTGATGGTGTTGCCCTGATGGCTTGCGTCACACAGCAGCCGTGGGTTTCTCCACTGAGAGGCTACTGTTTTATTTTTCCCTTTGTGATGTATAAAGATCTTGGGCGAGATACTTGGGGACTACGTAAACATTACAGACAGAAGGACACTGAGGAGGTGTGGCGGCCACACACACAGCGAGGGTCCGGGGTGGGATCCGGAAACAGCCAGAGGACACGGGTGGAAAACCGAAGTTCGAGGAAGGTCTGTCATCAAGGCAGTAATGCTGCACGGACCTGAGCTTTCTGGCGTTGAGCTAGATGGCTGGTTACGTAAGACCGTCAGCGTTAGGGGAAGCAGGTAAAGAGAACAGGGAGGCTCACGGAAATATTCTTTTACATCTTTTCTGTAAAGTCTAAAATTACCTGAAAACTAACAGCTGACCAAGCTACAGAGCCTGATTCTGCATCAGAACCTGGGTGGGGCCTCAAGTCTGTTTCTTACCAACACCCAAGCAATGCCGATGGCTGCTGCCGGCCGCTCGCTCCGCTAGCAAGGCTCTGGCAGATGGCACTCACCTCACTACACACAACTTCCAAGTGCCAGTCGGCTACATGCACCCAGAACATGCTCCCAGTATGGTCGCCACTGCTTCCCTGCAGGCCCTCTCTGGAGCCAGCCAGGCAGACGGTGCCCATGGCACACTGCCCCCGTGAGGAGCCTCAAGTCAGGGTCTCTGCTACCACACGGGTCTGCCGGGCCTTGCCCAGGTGTGCTGGCAGCCCAAGGCCACAGGGCCAGAGCCACCCACCCACACTGCAATTCAGAGGCAGCTGTGGAATACTCACTTGGCACCTCATCCCATTGGCGTGGGCAAGTACCAGGGCTACAAGAAAGCAGGAGGTGGAGTGAATACAGCAGACTTCACAACTCCTGCCCAAGGGGAGTGACCGGCCACATGGGTGACCTCCACTCGCTCCATTAACATGATCTTTAATAGAGCAGTATAAACCCACAAGAAAGAACACAGGCAGGAGAGGGCCTCACAAATGCCTGACACATACAAAGAACCAGGTCAGGGCAAAGGGAAAGCAGGGCACAGGCGTGGGGCTCCAGGCCTCGAAGAGCCCTACAGGCAGGCCACACCCACACCTGCCAGGTGGGTCCCACACAGAAGCGCTAACTCCCCGGACAGCAAAAGGGCCCTCCTAAAGAAGTGGAACAGCAGCCAGGCGCGGTGGCTCATGCCTGTAATCCCAGCACTTTGGGAGGCAGGCGGATCACGAGGTCAGGAGTTCGAGACCAGCCTGACCAACATGATGAAACCCCATGTCTGCTAAAATTACAAAAATGGCCAGGTGTGGTGGTGCGTGCCTGTAATCCCAGATACTCAGGAGGCTAAGGCAAGACAATCGCTTGAACCCTGGGGGGCAGAGGTTGCAGTCAGCCAAGACCGTGCCACTGTACTCCGGCCTGGGCGACAGCGAGACACCGTCTCAAAAAAAAAAAAAAAAAAAAGAAAGAAAGAAAAAAAAAAAAGAAGCAGAACAGCCCAGAGAAAATATTTTCAAATTGGCACTGCAGGTCCCGCCGCCACAAGCTCCCCTGGGAACTCACGGGGCTCTCCGCCAGCTTCCTCCGGCCTCGGACAACAGCAACTGTCAGTATTAGACGAGGACTTGCCATACAAAGCAAGAAGCCAACACTTTTTTTAAGTGACATTAGAGGAAACAAGAAATCAGAACAAAGGAGAACTGAAAAGAATCCTCATTAGTTTCCTCACTCATGGAGATGAGGCATTTGTAGAACAATAAGCTACTGTGAAGACGCAACAAGACAAATACTCACTTGGAAATAAAAAACCTGTTTGTGGAAATAAATACTTCAGACAGGATCAGAAGACATATTAAAGCTCTCTCCCAGAAATGAGAACAAACAAGGCAGAGAAGGAAGAATAAGGACAAAACTCTGGAACGTCCATCATGAACAGGAACTCCTAAGACAGAAGGGCAGAACAGGAGAGGAAGACCTTCTCAGACGCGACAAGGGAGCTTCCCAGAGCTGAAGGACACGTCACCAGAGTCGGAGTACCAGGAGTAGGAATCCACACACTTCAGCACACGGTAAAACGCCATGAACACCAAAGAGACGATCAGAAAGGATGCAGAGAGAAGGTTCTCCACAAGGAGGAAGAGCACCTGGCAGAGGTTCATGTTGAAATGAACAGAGCTGACCTGAAAACATGGAGTCCTGAACACACCCAGCCATAGAAGGGAAATTACCAGGTTGGCTCATGTGCAGGCTGAAGAATAACCCATCAGGATTAGAAAAAGCTGAGAGGCTGAAGGAGGAGGGGACCTGACCCTATCCTGAAAATAGGGTACATGAGATGGAAGAGGTGGCATGTGACAGAAGGGATCCGTCACCCATCATAACACAAAGTCAAGGCTGAGTAAAAGAAGTATCAGCTTAAAGGGCACGTTAAAGCCCACACGTGGGCAACAACTACTACTGAAGAGGCTGAGGGCCGCCGGAGCTGAGCAGAGTCTGTGGAACACAGGGAGATGCTATCTCAAAAACAAACCAACAAAAAGACCAGCTTACTTAGTTATGGAGCATGACCTCAAGAAACCACACTTTGAAGACTGGGGCTGGGAGGTGGGGCGGGGGACCACTACTTTTCATGGTAAATCTTCTACTGACATTGCTGTTGTGTGCATTATGCTGATTACAATACTGAATCGATGGGCTTTGCTTTTTAAGAACATCGGCTTAGACAGAGGGAACTGGAGCCCTGGCTCTGTGCACCTGCAGCCTGGTCACCTCATCTACGGACTGGGGGCAGCCTCTGCCTCCTGGTCACGGACAAGGAGCCAAGATGTGGAGCTCCCCCCAAAGCCTGAAGCTCTTTTTTTTAAAAGATTAAAGTCACAGCCTGGGAAACAGGGCGAAATCCCCTCTATACTACAGACACAAAAATTAGCCAGGTGTGGTGGCATCTGTGGTCCCAGCTACTCGGGAGGCTGTGGTGGGAGGATCACCTGAGCCAGGGAGGTTGAGGCTGCAGTGAACCAAGATCACCACACTGCATTCCAGCCTCGCGGACAGTTAAATCCTATCTCTAGCAAAATAAAAATATTAAAACCAATGACGACAGAATCCAACATTGCTGAGAAACATTAAGTTTGCCCTGGCCCCGTGGCTCCCTTGTGGAGAGGACCTTTCAGTTTGCAATTAGTGGTAAGCGGGTAACAACTGCCTACCTGGAATATTTTCGAGTTATAAGTAAATACAGAACACCTGTTTATTAATAATAATCACCTGTTAATACGTGGATCAGAGTCTGCTGGGGGCCTTCAACCTGGAATACTGTCAGCCCCGAGGCGCTCGGCTCCGTAGGCTACCGCCCCCGCCAGACCCACTATGCTCTTCTATCTGGGCATGTTCTCACTGCTTCAGCGCAGCCTGGGTGGAGGTCTCCCCGCCGGGTAGTGCTTGCTACAGCTTCCCAAGAATATATTCTTATTTTAATTGCAAGGCAGGGGAAATGGACCTACATACAGAATTTTACCTCGTTTTGGTGTTTTCTTCTAGCTGGGTATTTGCGAGCTGCGTGTTAAATGACCAGATCTAGTTTTTATTTGATGTTTCCTGATCTTCCTCAGAACCACTCACTACTCCAAGCTATTTTTCCGTCCCCCAAGAACTTCCAGCTAAAAGTGTGCCCTAAGACTGCCTCCTCTTATCGGTTATTTATTGCAGCGCAAGTTCCGCCAACGCCATCAGGCCCTGGAGTACATTCCTGGGCAGACAGGCAACTCCAAACAGAGCAATTACCTGTTCCACATCAACAACTGTGCGGCCCGGGCCCTCCCCCGGGGAGGTGCAAGCTCGCTACCCTTCAAAGCCCACACTCGCTGCACCTGCTCACAGTTCTTCGGGGATCATGTACTTCTCCAATAGCAAGACAATCCCTCCCATGTCATCAGGGAAAAACAACAGTCCTCTCTAGCAAGGCACTGTCTCCAAGATGCTCACACAGTGGGGATGGAATGTCATCTACTTTCTGCATCCTGGGGAAAAACAAAAAAACAAATGGCCACCTTTCTTAGGGGCTACATCACAGAAATCGCACACAGGTGCTGAGGAGGGGCCCCCCCGGGGAACGGGCCGGGGTCCTCGCCGAGCTCCGGGCAGCCCTGAGATCGCCCGCTTCGCTGTCTCGCCGGAGGCCTGCGTGTGCAAGTCCTGGGCTACGCGGGCTCCCGGCCACAGCCACGGAGGAGGCACAAAAACGGTGCCCGTGGCTCCCGGCTGGCTGGCGGAAGCCACCCCCTAGGGGGACCTCAGTCCCCTGGGGAGCGCGGGCGCGGCTCTAGGCCTTTCCCGTCTCCCCGCCGCGGCCCGGGGGCAGAGATCGGGAGCTCGAGGCCCCCGGGCCGGGCTACGGCAGCCGCGGCCCAACGGACGCCTGGGCGCGGCGGGGCAGGGGGTGCGGAAGCGAGGAAGCGGGAGCCCCTCTTCCGGGGCGCGGCCAGGGACGGGGAGCGAGGAGCTGGGGGCGCTCGCCCGGCCCGGACAGTTGGCGGCGGCGGCGCTGCGGCGCGGGCGGCCCGGCGGGCGGGAGGAGGAGGAGGAGGAGGGAGGACGCAGATCTCGCTCTCGCTCTCGCCCCGCGGGAAGGGGGAGGCGGAGGCGCGACCGGCTGCGGGAGCTGCAATTACCGTGTGGGCTGCGGAATTCTCGTGGTGTTTGTCGGGGAGATGCGATAATGGCGTCCGTCCTCGCGAGAGAAGCCGCCGCTCTGCGCAGGCGCCGCGAGCCCCTCCCCGCGACGCTCGGCCCCCGCCCTCCGCGCAGGCTCACTGGGCGCGCGGGCCCGAGGGCGGGGCAGGGGCGGGGCCTGCGGGCGGCGAGGCCCGCTCCGCGCGCTTTTCCCTTTCGGCCTCCCGGTGAGCATGCGCAGCCTGGCTTTCCTCGCGACGGTATCGGCTTCCCAGGGCTTTTTTTCCCCCCATTTTTCGCCCACGTGCCTGGCCTGCCTGAGAAAACTCACCTCACTGGACTATCTGAAGAATTTGCATCTTCTTTGAGATGGAATGAATAGGCATTAGCTCGCTCAACGACTACATCTCCCAGGGTTCCCTGCGCAAGCTGCGAGCGATGCATTCGGGGACTCGTAGTCCCTTCGTCCAGACCCTGCCTGCCGGGACTTGTAGTCCCTCTGGACTCCGGTGGCGGCGTGCAGTCCCCGCCCCAGGGGCTGCTGGGACTTGTAGTTACGATCAATCAGGTGGACTGTGCGCCCACAGCGGGTCCTACTTGCTGCTGCGACGAGTCCTGCCCTGAGGTTCCGGACCGCTGGGAGGCGTGTTCCCAAAGCTATAAGTGGTCAGGGGTCCCGATTGTCCGTCCAGAGGGGCCTGAGTGCATGCACGCGGGGGGTAGCCCACACAACAGTGATTGTGGTCTTAGATATTTCCTACATGTAACACACCTAAGTGATGGCAGCCGGGCGCGCCGTGGTCACGCCGGTAATCCTAGCACTTTGGGAGGCCAAGATGGGTTGATCACTGGAGGTCACCGGTTCGAGATCAGCCTAGCCAAAATGGTGAAAATCCGTCTCTACTAAAAATACAAAGATTACCTAGATGTGGTGGCGCACTCCTGTAATTCCAGCTACTTGGGAGGCTGACGCAGGAGAATCACTTGAGCCCAGGAAGCAGAGATTGCAGTGAGCCGAGATCTTGCCATTGTACTCCAGCCTGGGCGACAGAGTGAGACTCGGTCTCAAAAAAAAAAAAAAAAAAAAAAAAAAAAAAAAAAAAAAATGGCATTGAATGTGCACACGTTATATTTTATGTAGAATAAATGTGCAAATGTGTATTTGTGGGTAATCATAGGAAAAAATTCCCAAAATATAGGGCAATTCCTGGAAATGTCATTCCTGGTTATCTCCCTCTGTTCAACTGGGACTACCTTGCCTTTCATTTTCTTCTTTATACTCGCCTGTGTTTTCCTAATTACTTGCAACGAGCAAGAATGCCTTTGATCTCCCAAACCCAGGGCAAGGGAAAAGAAAAGACTTTACCTTGGGTTTCCTGCCTGACTCCCTTTTGCCAATAATGGAAACAGGACTCAGTGCAGCCACGGGCTGCGCTACCATGGGCAATCTTACCGAGTCAAACTCTCCTCCAGAATGAGGCCCAGAGGTGCCACTGAGGCTGGCGGCTGGGTTACCTCACAATAAAAGTACCTTACAAACACACCAAGGAGGAGCCGCAGAAGGGCGGCGCTAGGAAAGGTACTGATGGGAAGGTGGGGCTTGTCTTTTTTTTTTTTTTCCTGGTAGCTGGTATGTAGCTAGGGCCTGTCTTTTTTAAACATGAAGACCAGATCCAAAAAGATTAGAAAAATTGGCTGAGCATGGTGGCTCACACCTGTAATCGTAGCACTTTGGGAGGCTTAGGCAGGTGGATCACCTGAGGTCGGGAGTTCGAGACCAGCCTGACCAACATGGAGAAACCCCATCTCAACTAAAAATACAAAATTCACTGGGTATCGTGGCATATGCCTGTAATCCCAGCTATTCAGGAGGCTGAGGCAGGAGAATCGCTTGAACCCAGGAGGTGGTGGTTGTCGTGAGCCGAGGTCGTGCCATTGCACTCCAGCCTGGGCAACAAGAGCAAAACACCCTCTCAAAAGAAAAGAAAAAATTGCCCCTCAAGGTGGCAGGGCTGAAAAGAGAGACAAGCCAGGCTTGGAATCTAGAAAACCTTGGTTGGAGTATGGAGTCCACTGGCATGGAGGGAAAGCGTGCAGGAGCTGGCCACAGAATATTCCCTCAGGCAGCGGGGACAGGACGAGTTCTCAGGAAACACACCCGCTGTCTCCACCTGCACCTGCGTCATGGCTGCATTCAAATATTAATACTTGCCTGTGTAAGAATTCTCAGCACGCATGCCTGAATATCTGGCTTGGAAGCAGATAAACTGAGGATGATGTTCAGATTATTTCAAAACCTCCCCAAGTCCGTGTCCAGAGCTGCCTTTTCCTCCTCTCCAGGCCTGGTGCAATGCTGGGCTCAGCGTCACAAGCAGGCGTGAGTGAACAAGAGAAGGAACTTGTGAGCAAGGGTGAATCCACCTGTGACCGCGCAGCCAGCTACAGTGAGGTCTGTGGTTTGCTTTTTGTTTTTGAGACGGAGTCTTGCTCTTGTCACCCGGGATGGAGTGCAATGGCATGATCTTGGCTCACTGCAACCTCCACCTCCCAAGTTCAAGCGATTCTCCTGCCTCAGCCTCCCGAGTAGCTGGGATTACAGGTGTGCACCACCATGCCCAGCTAATTTTTGTATTTTTAGTAGAGCCAAGGTTTCTCCATGTTGGCCAGGCAGGTCTCAGACTCCTGACCTTAAGCGATCCTCCCACCTCGGCCTCCCAAAGAGTTGTGACTACAGGCATGCACCACCACACCCGGCTAATTTTTGTATTTTTAGTAGAGACAGGATTTCTCCATGTTGGTCAGGCTGCTCTCAAACCCCCGACCTCAGGTGATCCACCTGTCTCAGCCTCTCAAAGTGCTGGGATTTCAGGCGTCCAGCGCTGCAGGGAGGTTTATCGAAGGCCACTGCTAACTAGGTCATGATCAGAATTAGGTCAATCAAAACTGTGATGGTGTCTGTGCGGTTTTGTTGAGTTTGAGTCAGGGTCTTCCAGCTCTGTCATCAGGCTGGAATGCAGTGGTACTATCTTAGCTCACTGCAGCCTCTACCTCTCAGGCTGAAGTGATCCTCCCACCTGAGCCCCTAGAGTAGCTGGGATCACAGGCATGCACCACCGGGATCGCCTGAATTATTTTTATTTTTGTAGAGTCAGAGACCTCAATATGTTGTCCAGGCTGGTCTTGAACTCCTGGACTCGAGTGACCCTCCTGCTTTAGCCTCCCAAAGAGTTAGGATTACAGGAATAAGTTACTACACGTTTTTGTTTTTGATGGTTTTGATTTAGTTTTTATTTTGCTGCTCAGGAAGCCCAAGTAGAGGAAGGCATTACTCAACATTGCCATACAGTTCATTTACCAGCTTTTTTTTTTTTTTTTTTTTTTTTTAAATGAATGACAGGACCTTATGTCGCCTAGGCTGGCCTTGAACACGTTGTCTGGCTCCTCAAGTGCAAGGACAACTGGACTGAGCCACCGCGGCTCCCAATTCACCACGGTTTTTTTAAAATGAGGTAGCTAGTCGTCAGCAAAGACAGCTGTGTATTAGTGAAGGTTCACTTACTCAGCAGTCCGTACGAGGGTCCAATCTGATCTCCCGGAGTTGGTTAAGTTACGGTCACATTAGCGGAGGCATCGTAACAAGAGCGGGAAGTGCTCTCTGGCCTGGGTGGCACCAGATATGGGGGCCACTTAAATGTGTGCACACTCGGCCATTTGTAAATGTCACAGGTGTCAACACCTTGAAATACCCACATCAAGAAAACCCTGGAAGCTTCGAAGGGCCCTCTTTCTGGAAATGTCACTAGGGTAATTATTCACTGGCCAGGCGTGGTGGCTCACGTCTGTAATCCCAGCACTTTGGGAGACAGAAGCAGGCAGATCATGAGATCAGGGGTTCCAGACCAGCCTGACCAACATGGAGAAACCCTGTTTCTACTAAAAATACAAAGAATTAGCCAGGGATGGTGGCGCATGCTTGTAATCCCAGCTACTCAGGAGGCTGAGGCAGGAGAATTTCTTGAATCTGGGAGGCGGAAGTTTCAGTGAGCTGAGTTTGCAGCATTGCACTCCATCTTGGGAGACAGAGCAAGTGTCTATCTCAAAAAAAAAAAAAAAAGCAGAAAAAGATAGATGAATTATTCATGATGCACTCAATGGCCCAGGAAAAGCCTAGCAGATGGAGAAGGATCCTGGAGCGTTCCGCCTGGCTGTCCTGAAGTGTGAGGACTTGGCCTTTGCCCGGCCAGGGCTTAGAGTCTGAGCCTTCCCTTGGCAGGTTGCTGAGGCTCTCAGACCTCGGCTTCCCACTCTGGGACCTGGTGTTGAGATCTCACGGCTCACAGGGATGATGGGAGGGGTCCGTAGCGTGGAGTTCATGAAGCGTTTGGTAGAGGGTTCGACTCCGGATGTGATTATGTTACCATGGGCTGAGTTACCATGATCCAGGCACATTTTACTGTAATCCCTATTCTTTTTTTTATTTTTATTGAGATGGAGTCTCACTTTATTGCACGCACGCTGGAGTGCAGTGGCGTGATCTCAGCTCACTGAAACCTCCACCTCCTGAGTTTAAGTGATTCCCCTGCCTCAGCCTCCCGAGTAGCTGGGATTACAGGTGTGCACCACCATGGCGGGCTAACTTTTGTATTTTTAGTAGAGACGGGGGTGTCTCCATGTTGGTCACACTGGTCTCAAACTCCTGACTTCAGGTGATCCTCCTGCCTCAGCTTTCCACAGTGCTGGGATTACAGGCATGAGCTGCCACACCCAGCCTATAATCCGTATTCTTTGTGAAGAGCATGAAGTCAGGAGAGGCTGAGCAATAGACCTGGGGTCACATAGCCATAGTGGGGGTAGAGACGAGAGGAGGAAGGTGGTGAGATGTGTCAGCAAAGGTAGTGAAGGCACAGCGACGTCCTTGTCAGCAAGGAAGGTGTCGTCTTCCTCCTGAGAAGGCTTTACAAAGGTTGGGGCCAGCGCGGGGAGGATCA